CACAAGGAATTTTTTTTGTTAGGATATCAAAAGTAGTTTCATAAGTAAAATTACGAGTTACAAGCATTTTTTTAAAATGTCTTTATTTTCTTCGATTTCATGTTACACGGTCTGATAGTTGAGAAAATATTTGTAAAAGTTGCATATCACACTAAAGATCTTTGAATGAATACCTTAAGATTCGCATGGCATTACAGCCAAGCTTTACTTTATCATCAACATCATTGGTATCTGGAGATTTTATACCTCTTGAGAATTCGGCAATCCCTATTACCTGGTGATTCACTTTTTTTATCTTGAGAACTTTTAAAACGTCATCAATCTTGCGGTTCTTTGTAGCTGCAGTGAGTATTTCCAACCTGAATCAAATGAAAAGAAATTAAAAGTAATATAACTTTGATGATTGAGAATCCAAAATTGTCACCCATCAATTCCAATCCAGCACATCTTGATGCATTCTAAAGAGGCTGTTCATTATATATATGCTTGTATCGACTGCAAAAGTTCTTTCGAGACTTGATGTATTCCAAGCGCCTCGAACTATTCATCATTGATGTTAGTAATCTTTATTAAACATTGATTCCACATGAACAAGAACATATATGTATACACTACAAATATGTCAAAATGCATTGCGCAATATCATGCTCTTCATGAAGAAAAGGGTCAAATCATCCCACAATAAAAGATTTCTCACAAGAGTGGAAATGTCGATACGACTACAATTATCTTCAGTAAATTGACTACAGAAATCCTTGAATTCATCAGTTTGATCCCATGTTTGTTTTTCTAGAATTTTATCAAGCCAAAATTGTTGTCCTTCATTCAACCTCGATCGTAAATTTTGATTCATACTGACATCTGTCATATCGATTATTCTATTCAAAAAATTCGAATTCATAAATCGTTTTGTCCAATTCAAGAAAAGCGTTCCGGATTAGCACATCATTAGGGCGCAAATTTCTCATTTCCTTGAAGATTGGACAGCAGTAAGTATAATTTTTATGCGTGGATAAAGCAAAAATTAAATTACCTCATGATCAGTAAAATCACACTTCTTAACTTCCTGGTAGGTTGGATAACAGTGTATGAAATTGTTATACATAAAATGAAGTAAAATTAAATTACCTCTTTATCAATGAAACAGTAACCATCTAAAACTGTTTCCTCGGCATCGTCTAATACTACTTGAGGTATAATTTGTGATTACTGTCGTGCAAGTAATTCCCGCAATTCACATATGACATGCTATAACATATCAAAAGATTCGCAAATCATTTTGAAAAAAATTTCATGATATATATTAATCTAATTATAATTACCTCATTTACAGGCAGAGAAGGCGGGCATATTTGATTTTTGGGTGTTTTTTCGCGACTCATCCTTGTCCGTTTCATTTGATTTTGCACGTAATCATCCTAAAGTATTAAGATACAAAGTAATCAGTTCTGTTGATTCTTAACTTCTAGCTAAAAAATGCGCACCCGTACCTCTTTCAGGTTTCTTTTCGAAATAATTATTTCTGAATGTCCAGTAAAGGTTCCATTATTTATATTTCCGTTTATAGTCCCATTGATGCCTGCAAATGTAGGTTGGTGGAGATAGATTGGTGGTATACTGATATCTTTGATACGACCCTCCTCCCATTCTCTTGCTTGTTTATAGTCAGGTCGAGTATTCTAGTGATAAGCTTTTTAGAATTAGTAACTATTTTAACTAACTAACATTTTCTCAACTTCAACATATCACCCCATTGGATAGACCTAAAGACTTTAGCTCAGGCAAACCTAAAGATCACCTGTGCCCCAATGGGACCAACGTTGGGTCGACCTAAAGACTTGAACATCGGGCAAACCTAAAGATTACCCGTGCCCCAACGCTAGTTTTCTGGCTCGACCTAAAGACTTGAATGACAAGAAACCTAAAGATCCCTGTCACGCCATTTATTTACAACATTTACGTTTCAATAAAATAATTTTTTTACTTTCCTCTCTATACCTAATCAAGGAGAAGTTGGGCTTTTTCTTGCCTATTTCCTTTTTCGTTGTCGTTAATTAACTCAAGACTTTTGATATATAAACCTATCTTTAACTGGAACGGTTCTTCTTTACTTTCATTTAAAAAACCCATGAGGCTCCATTCCGTGGGTTTTCGTTTGAAATAGCCGTGAACTTTGCTATCTGACATTATTGAGATCAAATTGGTCAGACTTAGTATGTACAACAAACTTTTTTTCCTGATAATTAATAGAGTCGGTGCACAAAGATAAGTTTTACCAAAATTTCAATTTCCATAAAGAGGAACGGATCACAACGTTAAACCTCGATATGGAAGACGTACGCGATTTCTAGAAATAGGGGCTTTGAAGATAATGCAATATCGATATTGTATTGTTTTTGTATTATCTTTAAGATCCCTATAATACTGGTTTAACATAAATTATGGATGCCCCTAGTCTTGTAAGGTGATACAAATAAATTTTATATGCGGAATTACAGACACATGTTAAATGAATATTTTTTACAGGATCCCGGGTCGAAATACATCGGGTGGATGATCGACCTTTTAAAATTTAGAGGTTTTTTAAAACTTAAAGCCAATATTTCTCGATGAATACTTAACTAATTTCAGTGAATTTTTTTAATTTTAATTCTGTAAGTTAATAGAATTGGAATAAAAAAAAATCGTTTGTCGAATTTATTAGATAGTCATTGAGAAACTTCTCTTTAAGTTTGAAAAAAAAACAAAAAGCCGTAGTAAAATTTCTTTTTTTCAACTTTTAGCGAAGATTTCTTAACGATTATCTAACCAAATTTGATGAAAATTTTTTTATTTTAATTCTACGTGTTTGTAGAATCAAAATAAAAAAATTATCAAACTTGGTTATGTAGTGCTGAGAAATATTTATTTATTGTTTTAAAAAAAATTTGCCGCAGCTTCTTTTTTATTGGTACTAAACTTTAAGCAAAATTTTCAAACCAAATTCGATGAAAATTTTTTTATTTTAATTATACAGGATTGCAAAATTAAAATAAAAAAATTTCATATAATTTGGTTAGATATTCATCGAAAACCTTCGCTTAAAATTTTAGGATCCATAAAAAAAAAGCTGCGGCAATTTTTTTTTACTCAGTAACTACGTACGTACATAACTAAATTTAATAAATTCTTTATAAACACGTAAAATTAAATAAAAAAATTCATCAAATTTTGATCATGTATTCATCGAGAAATTTCGGTTTAAAACTTAAAAAAAATTTGAGTTCAATAAAAAGAATAAATTTCCTTTTAAGATTTCTTGATGAAAACATGATTAAATTTGATGAAGATTTTTTTATTTTAATTCTGTGTTTGTAGAATCGAAATAAAAAAAAATTGTCGAATTTAGTTATGTAGTCACTGAGAAATGTTTATTTAAAGTTTTTAAAAAAATTTGCCGCAGCTTCTTTTTTATAATAATTAACCATAGCTGCCGCAACAAGATTGGACCGGCATATCCTCGATTTCGATTGGCTAACGGCCGAGGATCTTCAAAATTTTGGCCCACCTTACAAATTTGTTTACTAATTCCGGCCGGAATTAACTTTTTAATTTTTTGCACTACAAAAATAGAAATTTTTAAAAGGTATGCTCACATTATGGCAAAATTGGCTCAGGAACAATTTTCACTTAATAGGTGGCAGCGATTTCATTAGTAAAATTATGAGTAATTCCGGTCTAATTTTTGATCATCGCTCTTAGCCAATCAAAATCGAAAATCTGCCGGTCCAATTTTGTTGCGGGATACTGTATATATATTACAGTGCTTTTCAATTTACTGTGATCGGCTGTCGATCATCAATCACACGGAAATCTGTAGATTTCCTTTAAAT